ATAGACCCTGGCTTCCAGGGTTTCCATTTCCTTGGGCTTCCATTGCAATGAGGGAGCTGGCATTCATTGGCATTGGGAGCTCCCCCGTGAAAAAATACCCTCTCCATTGCAGGTCTCCACATTCTCTGAAACTTACATCATTTTAGAGTTTCTTGGAGCACCTAGAGGTTAAATGACTCACCCAGGATCATGCAGTCAGTAGGCGTCAGAGGTAGGATTTGAATCCAGGTCTTCCTGATTTCAAGACCAGCTGTTTTAGCCACTACTCCATGCTGCCTCTCTGTTGTACTTCAAATCCAAAAACTGTATGATTGAGTGAAGGAAGGGACCTTTAAGATAACTGTATGGGGCAGCTAGGTGGCGCAGTGGATAGAGCACCGGCCCTGAAGTCAAGAGGACCTGAGTTCAAATCCGGCCTCAGACACATAACACTCAATAGCTGTGTGACCCTGGGCAAGTCATTTAACCCCAACTGCCTCACCAAAAAAAAAAAAATAATAATAAGATAACTGTACCAGTGATGAGACTGAAGTCCAATAAAACAAAGCAAATGAAGGTCTCACAGCTAATCCATCTGTGGTGGAGCCAGGAAGGGGGGGGGGGGAAAGCAATTCCCCTAATTCCCAGCAAAGCACTCTCTCTAATACTAAAACAAAGGGGCTTCAAAGCTCTCATATGAGATATGGTTAACCAGGAGATGGTGAGGCAGAAATCTATCTCCTTCATATTTTAATGGTGAATGAAAATGGTTTGCATCTGGGGGGAAAAAAGTTTTTCTAGCTTCTTCTAGATATTCAGATACAAGGAAAACCCTAGAAGAATGTTATTCATCTAGTCACCTGGTTTCATCATCAGAACAAGGGAATAAAATTAACAAGGGAATAAAATTGGTATCAACTGGTAAATGGTCAAAGGATTTGAACAGGTAGTTTTCAAAGAAAGAAATCTCAGCTATCACTGATCAACAATCCAAATCACTAATAACTAAAGAAATGCAAATTAAATTTATCCTAAATTTAATAATATCTAATAATAGATAGCATTCATCTAGTGCTTTAAGGTTTGCAAAGTGCATTTTATATGTTATCTCATTTGATCTTCACAACAATTCCGTGAAATGGGTTTTTTTTATTAAGCCCATTTTCCAGATGATGAAACCAAGGCTTGAGAGAGATAAGGTGATGTGACTTGCCCAGGATCACACAGAAAGTAAATATCTGAGTCAGATTTTAACTCAGGTCTTCCTGACTCCAAGTTAGCGTTCTCTCCATTATACCAAGGCTCAAACTCACTTTTCCATTTCATACTCCACACGTTGGCAAAGTTGACCCCAAAAAAGAAAATGTCGAATTTTGGAAGGGCTTTGGGGAAACTGGTAGATTCCAAAAGCCCTAGCTTCCCAGAGTCTTACTCTTTCTTCTCTGTTGCTTTCTTTTGGTGGGTCTCTGCTCTTGGTCTGATTTCTTCAGCGATGGTGTCCAGGGAGAGAATGTGTGGTAAGAATATATTGTAGAGGCAGTTGGTACAGCAGTGGATAAAGCCCCAGGCTTGTAAGGTAATAATACTTGAAATATCTACATCACACGGATCCTGGTAAGATCCTTGCCACAGAAATGTGTTAGATTATTAGACCTGTGTAATATGGTAAAGAACTGGACATTAGAAATGGCCCTATGGACAGGATGAGAAAAGGAAAGGGGAGTCTTGCTATGAGCCCTAGAGGAAGAGTAGCAGCTCCTATTGTGAAGGGGATTTTTAGGTCTGAGATCTAGTCTGGGCTGTCTCTGACATTGATGGGGTGGGGTGAATTCCCTCAAGTCAGCCAGGCACATCCCCAGAATGCCAGGTCACCAGGCAGCATGCTTTTCTACCCCCACTGACCCCTCCAGGAACATATAGCTTTCACCAAGGACACAAGGGAAGTGTCCCCACTGTTCTATGAAAAAAGCCCTATATCAGACACAGTTCACATTCATTTCCATGATATAGAAGAGGGGCAAAGTATGGTCAGACACGGTCCCTGTTCTCTCCATAGAGTAGGAGTGTAAGCAAGTAAGACTGAGATCTAGGAAGAGTTTGGAATTTAAATATCTACTCAGGGGCAGCTAGGTATTGAAGTGGATAGAGCACCAGACCTGAAGTCAGGAGGACCTGATTTTAAGTCTGGCCTCAGACCAAACACTTGACACTCAATGGCTGTGTGACCCTGGGCAAGTCACTTAACCCCAACTGCCAAAGAAAGAAAGAAAAAAGAAAAAATATCTACTCAGTAGATAAAATTCTGGGTCTAGAGTTAGAAAAAACTGAGTTCAAATCCAGCCTCAGATACTAGCTGTGTGACCCTGGGCAAGTCACAACATCTGTTTGCTTCCATTTTCTCGACTGTAAAATAGGGATAATAATATTGCCTACCACCCAGGCTTGTTGTGACCATCAAATGAGATAATATTTGTACTTAGCTTAATATTTGTACTTGTGCTCAGTGTAGTGTTTGACACACAGAAGAGTAAATATTTATGAAGCACTTGCTCCAAGTCAGGCACTATACTAAGTGCTGGGGATATAAAGAGGCAAAAGATAGTCCCTGTCCTCAAGGAGTTTACAATTTCACGGAGGAGACAACATGTAAACAAACATATATAAAGCAAGCTATACACAGAATAAATAGGAAATAATTAATGGAGGGAAGGCACTAGACTTAAGCTTGATAAATGCTCATTCTTTCCCCCCCCCCATGAAAGTCCAAAAGATCCTTCTTTGAAAAGGAAAATTGTTGGGTCTAATACTTTCTGTGTGCCCTAGGAGATGGGGTTCCATAGCAGACCTAAATTAGTTCTGCCCTTGAATCTGTGGCTGAAATAGTCACATGATCTCTCCATGACCCAGGCAGCTAAGACTGGTGGCTGAGCAGTTTCTGATTAGCAATGTTATAAAAGGAATTTTCTCTCCTGACCTCCCCTTACACAGGTAAAACCACAGGTTCAAAAAAAAAAATCCTGCTAAGTTACTTCCTACAACAAAGATATATATATATATATAGATAGATAGATATTTTTTTTCTTTTGGGCTGTATTAGTTCAGCAGAGTTAGATTAAAAGATCCGCTAAGTGCAGGTACCATGCCTTAATTACCTTTCTCCCCCAGGCTCAGGACCTGTCACATTGTAGATACCTTATCATAGCTGACATCTAAACATACACAGCTTTAAGGTCTGCAAAGAGTTTTACATTTATTATCATGTTTGATAAAAACATGTTGAAGAAATGAGTGAGAAAGATGGGGAGTTGAGGGATGAGCTTTGGCAATATAGGGTAGTATAATCAGCCCTGAATTTGTAGTAGAGAGGGCATGGATTCAAATCCTGGTCCTACGACTTACTATCTCTATGACCTTGAGGAAGCCCCTTCTCTGGATCTGAGTTTCCTGAACTGTAAAATGAGAGGTTAGGCTGTGTAAGAACCACTTCAGCTCTAAATTCTACCATCCTTAGTTTTTTTTAGGTCCATCCCTTTTTCATCCCAATCTAACCTTAGGCATTTTCTTTCTGGGGCTCAGTTTCCCCATTTGTAAAACAGAATTAATGTTCTCTGGCCTGGCACTTTCTTACCTTTCCAGTCTTCTTCACATTATTTTCTCCCTGGCATCCTATAGCTTGGTATTTTATGTTCCAGCAATGCTGACCTACTTGTAGTTCCCGGAACACGACACTCCATCTTTCATCTCCATACCTCTGAATTGACTGCATCCCACGCCTACAACACTCTACCCATATATGTTTGCTTCTAAGTTTCTTTGGCTCTCTTCAAGACTCTGATCTTCCTCAGGAGGCCTTTCCCCACCTTCCAACCCCAACTGTTAATGCCTTGCCCTCTGAGATGACCTTCCATCTACTCAGCCTATACCTTTCATGTACCTAGTTTATTAACTTATTTTCCACTAGAATAGAAGACCCTTGACATACATTTTTGGACACGGCCAACGTGGGTATTTGTTTGGCTGGACTATGCATCCATGTTATGTGCTTAAAAGAATTGTTGGGAGGAGGGGCACAGGGAAGGAAAGCAAATAAGTGATTGGCTTTTTTTTAAATGGAAGCTCCTTGACGGCAGAATTGGTTTTGCTTATTGCAACCCCAGTGCTTACACAGTGTCTAGCACGTAGCAGACACTTCCTAAACGCTAATTCCTTCCCCCTTGCCTATAAGACTGTGAGCTCCTGAAGAACAGGACCATCTCTTCCCTCTCTTTGTGTGCCCAGCACTTAGCTCAGAGCCAAGTACACAGTAGGCACTTCATGAATGCCTATTTCCTTGCCTCTCCCCTAACAGACTGAACTCCTGGAGAGCAGGATTGTCTGTCTCCTAACTCTCTTTGTTCCCCCAGCACTTAACTCAGAGCCAGGCACACAGTAGGCACTTCACTAATGCTTGTTTGAGCTCCTGGAGGGCAGGATTGTCCCCATCACTCAGCTCAGTGCCTGGCACACAGTGGGCACTTCATGAATGCCTATTTCCTTCCCTTCCCCTCTAAGTCTGTGAGCTCCTGGAGGACAGACCATCTCCTGCCTCTCTTTGCGTCCCCGCGCTCAGCTCAGCGTCCGGCACACAGTGGGCGCCTCCCAAGCACGGATGAGGACTCGTTCTCCTCGGGAAGGCGCCCTGCTCTCCAGGGCGGCTCTCGGAGGACGCGCCCGTGCCCGGGGGCCACAAGCCACCCAGACTTGGCGGACTCCCCGCTTCCAGTCCCTGGGACTACTCCACCCTCACCTAGGCGACTTCTCTCCCTCTCAGAGGCCGGGCCGCCCAGCCAGCCCCGGCCGGTCCCGCCCGAGAGGGCCCCGTCCCTTCCCCCGGCCTTCCACCAATCCGAAGGCGGTACCCCGGCTCCGGTTCCTCGGGCCGGGCGCGGCGGCCAATGGGAGCGCGGGAGCAGGCGGCATGCAAATGAGCAGGTGTGCCGAGGCGGCGGCTGGCTGGAGCGGGCCGGCCCCGCCAGGGGTTGTAAGCCGAGCGGCAGCGGGGCTGGAGAGCACACGGGCCCGGGCTGCTGCGCTTCCTCTGCGGCCATGGCCTCCGCTCCGCCGCCGCCGCCGCTCTTCTCGGCCGCCGAAGTGCAGAGGCGCTGCGCGGACGGCGCCTGCTGGGTGCGGCGCGGCGCCCGCCTCTACGACCTCACGGGCTTCGTGCGTCGCCACCCGGGGGGCGAGCAGCTGCTGCGGGCGCGCGCCGGCCGCGACGTGAGCGCCGACCTGGACGGGCCGCCGCACCGGCACTCGGACAACGCGCGCCGCTGGCTGGAGCAGTACTACGTGGGCGAGCTGCGCGGCCCCACGCAGGTACGGTGCACGCGCGCAGCCCGCCGGCCCCCCGCCCGCTGCCCTGCGCGCCTGCCCCGGGCCCCCGGCTCCCCCGACGCTGCTGCCTGTCCCCGCACTCGCGGACCCCTCCGCCTCGGTGATGCGGTCCCAGGAGCCCCCGCGGTCCCAGGAGCCCCCGCGGTCCCAGGAGCCCCCTCTGTCCCTGTCACCCGTGCTCTGCCACACCGTGCCCACCTGCGGGCGTCCCCACCTGTCTGTCACCTCTGTACTTACCTGTGCCCCCATTCACCTTGTCCTGCTCTGACGCACTATCTTTCCACTCACTGACCATTTCTGCCTGCCTGTCCTGTCCACCTCTGCGATTTTAGCCCGGGGAGCTCGTGTGTGTAGTGTGCTACTTCCACCTCTACTGTCTGCCATGCCCACCCATCTGTCACCTCAACTGTACCCTGTTCACCTGTCCATCTCCCTCCAACTCTGCTGTCTCCCCACTCACTGACCACTTCTATCTGCCTGTCCCCTCCACACCATCACTATCTCAGATCCTCCAAGCTCATGCTTTCTGTCATCCCTGCCTGTCATCCCCTCTGCTTACCTGTCCCCCACTTACTCATCTTCACTGAGCTATCTCCCTCCTATTCAGCTGCCTCCCCACTCATTGACCACTTGTTCACCCCCCCCATCCCCATGATTCCAGGGAACTAACCTATATCCCACTCTCTTATCTCCTTCCTGCATAACTCTCTCCACATTTCATCTACCTCTCCTTTTCACCTGTCCTCCCCTCTGTAATTCCAGCAAACTCAGGCATGAGTCTGTCTCTCACTCACCTGTCTTCCCTTTCCTGTCCCCATTTTCCCCTCTTCTAAGCCCCTCTTCCTGTCTCACCTGCCATGCTCCCAGCTCACCTGCCTCCTGCTTACCTGTCTCCCACTCATCAATTTCCCCTTCCCCTGAAACTCTCTTGTCCATCTGCCACCCTCACCTGTCATGTTCCCAGCTCACCTATCCCCTTATCTGTCCTTTTCCCTTCTCACCTGTCTTCCCCCATCTGTCCATGTCTCCCCCCACACTCCTATTTGAGTCTGGACTCCCCATTCCTGACCATCTACTTCTGCTGGGGTACAGCTAGTTCATGTGTACCCCAGCAGGTTCACTTGTGATTCCCCCTACCCCCAACTGTTCCACCTTCCTCTGTGCTTCTGTTAACCTCAAAACAAAATTCTCTATTGTTCCTAAATTAACAATGCAAATGCTTTCTCCAAGAGCCTTTCACTCATCTTTATCCCTAGTCCTTCAATCCTTTTCTTCCCCTCTCTAGAAAACCATCCCTTCCTCACTCTGTCCCGCAATGATTTCTCTCCATCTGACTCTTCCCTGTTCCATTTCTTCTCTGGGTCATTTTTCCTTCCTGTGCCTTTTCTCTGCATTTCTTTCTGTATGGCTCCGAGTTACCAAACCCCATTTCTGGTCCTAAGATTTCACACCTCAACTCTTCTCTATCCCACCTCCCACCTCCGAATAGCCTTTCCTTTCCTCGTGTGCCTACCACACCCCACCAAAAGTAAGTGATTTAGCCATCAGTGACAAGTCTTGTTCCTTCTCTCCCTGTCACTTTGGGCTCCCCTCAACTTGCTGTCAGCAAAGATTTCTGTCCTTTGCCTGCCATGGATTTCCTGGTAGACAATCCCTGTTGCTACCTTGGGCTTTGTCTCACCTCCTTTAAATCCTGTGATCCCCGTGACTCCATGGACATTAGACACAGGGTATATTTCTGCTGGTCTAGCAAAAGTGAGACAACATGGGAGGGTTTTGGGGTATTTTTTGTTACAAACTGTAAAAGAGTTTTATAAACATGAGCTGCTCGTATTATCCCACCAAGTCTCTCCATTATCAGATTATTGTAGCTGCCCCCAACAAATACTTTGAAATCTTTGGGAGTTAAGTGATGATACCTTGTGGCTCTGGCCACAATCTTCTTATGGGGCCAGAGGTTAAATCTCCATTAGGCTTTCTTGCCTAATTCTCAGGTGGTTTCGGGTGAGTAATGTATCCTCAGGAATTGTTTGATAATTGGGCCAGGCTGAAGATGCAATCTGTATTCACAGTCATGAATTAAGTAGGAAAGGTTAGGATCTAACCTCCAAAGCTCTGTGGCTCAAGTTCCTTCAAAGCAGAAACTTCTCATTCTCTCTCCCAGAACTATTAAGTACAATGGGTTGCCACAGTATGTACTCAAAAATGTCTGCTGAATAAGCAAATGTATGTGGAATTCTTCTGAGCCTCTAGTTCGAAAGAGAGGGCTAAGTAGAAGGATTTCCTTTTTTCTGGGGGGGGGATGAAGAAACAGGGGGCCATGAGTGTCATGACCTTCAGGTGGTCTATCATGCCTCACAGTCCCTCCCTCAGTTCTCAAGTTCCAGTGACAGTGGTGTCCTTGGTCCTGAGCATTCCATCAGTACCCCAGTCTGCTGACAGTCCTAACATAAACCCATCTTCTCTCACTGCTCATCTCTTCTCCCTAGTTTTCCCCCGCTCACAAATATGAACAAAGTCTACATCCCCTACCTTGGATGAGTGACTTACCTTAGTCAGGTTGAACAACTGTTATTCTTGTCCTCTGAAGGCTGGTTCCAGGGTAGAGGTGAGAGTTTGAGTGAGAACTTGAACCCTGCCTCCCTCCCCAGCATAAACTTGGCCTGAAATCAACTCAGGTACTGCCCCCTGGAAGAGATGTGACTGCTGATAGACACTCATTGTTCCACATTCCAGTTACCTGTTGCCTTAAATGTTTTGTTTTTTAAGATTTTTGTTATAAACTTATTAAGTTTAGTTTAAGAGAGTTAAAAAAAATTCCTGTTTTATAAACTTAACCTAGACCACTCTCTTAGACCTAAGCAAATATAACAAATAATAATAAAGAAATAATCTAACCAAAAATGGAGTAAATCTTCAAAGGAAACTCAAATGTGCAATAATTATATATATATATATGTATATATATATATATAGTGTATATGTATGTATATATATATGTCTTTAAAAATAAGAAAAAGTATTTTCAGTATCCTCTTCTTCATCTGTGCTCTAAAAGATGCCTTTCCATTTTTTTAAAGGTGGTTATGGCCAGAGTATGTGCACTTTTCTTGTTCTGCTGACCTCTCTTTGCATATCTTCATATAGGTTTTTCCTTGTAGCTTCCTATTTATCGTTTACATAGGTTGTTCCAAAAGTCTTCATGTAGTTTTAAACTATTAAAACTTAAACTTTGGTGTCCCAAAAATCTATGCAGTTTGGCAGTTTGCATAAAGACTTCTAGGACACCAGAGTTTAAGTTTTAACGGCTTAAAACTGCACAAAGACATTTGGAATCCTGTTGTTAATATAGTATACCTTAACTTGTTCAACCGTTTCCCAAACCTTGGACATATTAGTTGTTTCTAATCTTTTTTAAAAATTTTGTTTAACCGCAGCATTCATATAATCCCAAATACTTCAAAACACATAACAAACCACTTCCCTCCAAAAGTACCATCCCCCCAAACTTCAGCATTAAAAAGTATGCATGACTGGAACTGAAATGTGAAACATGCTGCCTGTCATTTTAGTTATAAAAGGAAAGGAAAGGCGTGGTGCTTTCATTTTAGCAAATTAGTACCAAGATGGCCCATTTTCTCTAACGAGAATCTTGTGGCAGTTTATAATTCTTTTCCTTTATGTACTTCCTGTGTCTATGGTTATTTTGACTTGACTTTCTTTATTTGTTTTTTCCAGTTTTTCATTATTACAAATGAAGCTGCCATGTAGTGTGTAACTCTTCGTTGACCTCAAGGACTACAGCACATCAATGCTGTCCATGGGGTTTTCTTGGGAAAGATACTGGGGTGGTTTGCCATTTCCTTCTCTTGTGGATTAAGGAAAACAGAGGTTAAATGACTTGCCCAGGGTCACACAGTTAGTAAGTGTCTGAGGCCACATTTGAACTCAGATCTTCCTGACTCCAGGCCTAACACTGTCTATCCATGGAGCCATCTAGCTGCCTCTATACCTCTATAACTCCAATTTTCCTTTTAATTATATCTTTAGGATATAGAACCAGCAAAGGGATCATTGGGTCAATTTAAGTAATTCTTAAATGCATGAACTTAGTAAACCTCATAAGAAATAAGCAGAATATTGTCTTTAATCCTAAATGAAAAAAATGTAGTTTGAATTATTTCCATTTTTGGTGAATATATATATATGTATGTACAGATATATATGTTTCATATATGTGTATTAATATATATGATACATTTGTGTATATATGTATTAATATATGATACATACATATATGTATCTATTAAATATTGTTTTGTTAAAATAGGACAATTTATTTGCTCTGTGTGCCTTTCCACACACTCATCTGGGTACTTATAAAACTTTGTTGACCTTGTTTCTTTATGTGTGTTGTGTATGTCATCTGTGTTCACTATTCTTCTTAATTGACTGACTTTGATTTTCATTACTTATTAAAAGTCTTTCCATGTAACCTGTCATCTTTACTCAGTTTCTTATCACCTTCAAGTCTGCCCTTGACCTAGGGAGGTATGCCCAACTCAGGGCCTCTTCTGTCCCCAGTCCACAGGAAGGTGTATTTATTTGTCCTGTGCTTTAAAAATCATCAAGTGCATTGGGGTAGTTTTAAATGGAAAGGTCAGAAAAGAAATTCTGGATAGTATATCATAAAACTAATGATAGCTAGCATTTTTATTTGGTTTTACAAGCATTATCTCACTTAAACCTCATGATAAACCCCATGAGGTAGATAGCAAGACTACCTATCTCTAACTCTATAGTCAGAAAGTTTGCTTTTTGAAGACTGTGATCACTCAATCAACAAGCATCATGGAGCACCCACCTTGTGCTGAGCCTGGAGAATGCAAAGGTACAAGTGAAACAACCCCTGCCCTCGTGGAGCTTACATTCTAATAGACATGGGCATATAGCCGAGTATATATGAATATGTATATTAAAAT